AGGACTCATTGACTCTGAAATCCCTTACACTAAGCATGCTTGTAGCGACAGTGGAGAGGAAAACTCCCTTTTAACAGGAAGAAACCTCCAGCAGAACCAGGCTCAGTGTGATTCAGAGGTGTCAAAAATAATAATGTTTTTTACTCAAGTAGAAGTACAAATCCTTCAGTAAAAATACTTTTATAGAAGTTAGAGTATCAACTTAAGCTTTTTACTCAAGTAAATATAGGTAATGCAGGAAATAATTATATAATGGTTACTGCACTACCCTATTAAAGGAATATTTTTGTACAATTCTGGATCATAATTTCCTTATACTTGATTTCCTTAGTTTCATAACAAATGGTAATAGCGGCAAATTTAACTTTGCATCAAGTTGAAAGAATTTTTTTTTTTTTTGGTATCTAACGAACAACAAGTTGGTTCAGCCCCGAGTCCAACCACAAAGAAATTCATTGTCTGGATGAAACAAATCATTTTGGTGATTTATTTTTTTTAATATACCAACAGGTCATAAAGAAAATGAGCTCAAATGAAACAAAAATAAGTATTTTTATGAAATGTAAGGAGTAGAAATCACAGATAATTGCATTTTTTTTTTTTTTTTTTTTGAAGGAGTAGAAGTAAAAAGTTGTCTAAAAAATAATCCCTCCAAGGTAACAACATATTTGATTGTTACTTGACACCTCTGGTGAGCGGCCTGCTGCCCAACTGGGGTTCAACAAGATAGAAGTGGATATAGACATAAATGAAATAAGTTATTTGGCGCCTGGGGCCCGATAGAAAACTTTGATGCTGTGAATGAAACATTCGGATGGGGATGAGAACCTAGAAACCGATTGGTGGAGGAATAAGCCAGAGGATGAGTGGGACTGAGAATAGTCTGAGAGTGAGGGAGGAGATGGGTTGGAGACAGACATGGGCAATGTGGAGTCAACAAGTCATCTCCATGTCATGTATTTAATCTAAGTCCAATCTGCACAGGTTAATTCACGGTGAAGATGGGACTCACCTGCTTCAGTGGCTGGGTAGAACAAATACATGACATGGAGATGACTTGTTGACTCCACATTGCCCATGTCTGGTTGGAGGTGGGTGAAAGTTGGCCTGCGGGCCAAAGAGAGAAGCTAGGCTAGGAGCTAAATGAACTGGATCTTGAAAGATGATTGGCTTCAGAGAAGGTGCGGACCTGAGTTCATTGGCTGGAGCTGAACTAGGGACATTGCAGGTGGTTCAGGTGAAGCTGATAAGAGTCTTCCACATTTAATTATCACTTAAACTTTATTTGCATGTAGGATGGCCTTTATGATTTGATTAATTTGACTCAGTAAAGGTCCTTGAGAGGACACGTGTTGTTAATTGGCACTACATAAATGAAATGAATTGAAATGAAAATGCGAGTGAAATTGGATGTTCTGAATAACTAATTAGTGCTATTTTATCTTTTCTTTACTATAATAATTATATTAAATTAAATTATAGACAATTATTAGATTAGATTAGATTCAATTATATTAGATTACATTTTTAAAAAACATTTTGACTTAAATAAATTTCTATTTTAAGGATTTAGCATATAGGTGTGGAGTATAGGTACAGATAAAACAGGATATTTAAAGTCATGCTTATATTGTTTTCCCTCTCCTGCAATTCCAATATTTTATGAAACATGTTAAGGTCAAAGGGTCTTGGTTTCCCCTTTGGTCTATTCTTTCTGATAGAACTGGGTCAGCCTTCTCACACACTCCTTTTCACACCCACACATCTGCTGTGGCTTTAAGCAGGACTGTATGATGGAGAAAAGTTTCCCTCTATTGTCTTTAAGCCCCTTTATAACTAATTGTATAGTTATGGCCACTGCTACCTTTAGGCCACCTATATTTTTTCCACATAATGTTTTTTTTTTTCCTAATGATGAAACCTAATCTGTGATGTGCATCATTCCCTCCTACACTGAACACCCTCACAACCTGATGCTGCTACCTGTATACCTGATTCATTTCCTCAGCATTATGAGTTGTCCTACACTAAATGCAGTCATTTTGATCAGGAATATTGCTTTTAGATTAAGGAGACTGAAAAAAATGTCTCCAACAATTAAGATGTGTGTCCCTAATTCTGTTTGTAAAGTATATATTAACCTTCTTGATACCCGAGTGGACTTTCAGCTTAGGTGGACTATTTATCTATTTTTTTATTTACAAAATTCATCCAGAAACTTCATTAGGTCATTTACTTGTGATCAACACACTTTCAACTCTAAAACACAGAACAATTCTTTTCCCTTAATGTCTCAAAATTCTCATGATACATTTATGTATTTATTTTAACAGGCTAATGTGGTACTTTCATTTACCTGATATTTATACCCGATAATGGAGGGTAACAGGTCTTTTCCATGATGTCGCACAAGATAGTAATTTTGTTTTAATCCTTAAAATACATCCATCCATCCAGAGGTACAGTATGCTTTCATTAAGTGTTGAGAGTCAACCTTATAAACTACTTGAAGTTTTAATGTCATTTAAACTTCAAGTAGGTAATGTTCAAAATAAAAAAAAATCCCATTGCTTTGACATTTGGGAATTGCAGTTCTCCATTCGCTGATTTAATGTGAGACAGAGGGGAAAAGGATGCTGTAAATATCTGGTTTAAGTCGTGCATCTTTGAGTGTGCACTAACATCACATCTCCCATCTAGATTATTTCAGCTGCAGAGTTTATGATGGGCCATCAGTTTAACTTACTATTATAACCTCATTCAGCTCCCACAATAAAAGGGTCATTTTAGTGTGAATACTGTAAATACATCTAGGTTTGATCTATTTCTAATAATATTCCTTTTATTTCTATGTAAACAAAAATCATACTGGTATAAAATACATTAATAACCTAAATATACTTTTTTCTATGTAATCATTTTAACATGTTCTGTGTTTGTTGTTGTATTTATTTTATTTTAAACATTTGGAACAACGAGTGCCATTAGTTAGTCCATATTGAAGCATTCTATAATAATGTTTTTCGTATTTAAAGGTTGTTTAAACTTCTTCTGAGTGTTCTTTAAAAAAGGAAACCTGATGTGCTTCAGGGCGAAACAATGAAACCTCGCTTTTAATTTATGAGCCTTTAAGCTTTTTAATGCTCTTTGGTCCTCACCTGACCTGAGCCTGACTCTTACATCATGCACGGTCATATGAGGCTGAAGATCAGTAGGTCTGTTCATCACATTTCTGTGCTCTCTTTGGGTTTTTTTTTAAAACAGTAAAAGGTGTAAATGTTCCCAAAATTCATCAGTGATTTTAAACAACTTTCAGGCCAGAGGTTTTTCAGACCCAATTCTTTTCTTGTTACAGGAACTTTTCTCGGAAAAGGACAGATGGAAATGAGCACTTTCCTAATTTCATTAATAGCAGCAGGGTAATATAATCTGAACATGCTTAACTGAATGTGCTCTGTGATGCGGAACTTTTGGATAATGCTCCCAACGAGCACAACTTTTGCCCTCATTGTTTTAATTTTAGATTTTTTTCAAGATTTAATTTGTAAATGACTGGAAAATAAATAACCAGCGAGAAAAAAATAGATCCCCGTCTAAGACAAAACACAATAAATTACGGTTATAATGCAAAAGAGAAAACTAAATCCACTGGCAAAGAAACTGAGCAGTTGTGCATGACAAGAACATAAAGGGGACCATGATGTTGACTTTATTTTTGAAACCATTATAATCACAGGACTGCTCGCTTAAGATCGCTGCTAAATTGTTTTAATGTTGCAACGCTAAATAAAAAGTTTAAAGAAGTGAAAAAAATGAAATTCAAGTTTCTAACACCAGCTTATTTTGAGGTTGTTACAAAAAAATCCTGTGAATTTTATAAAAAATATTCCTACTAACTAAATAACTAAATGGCATTTTACTCATTTTTTGTAAAACAACAAAATATACTTTTTAACATCTACTGCATGATCCAAAATATTTTAAATGGATTTTTTGCATAAACCAGATAAAGGATCCTTCTATCATTTTGGCACTGCTGCATTATTTCAAGAAATTGTCACAAACTTGATTTATTTATTGCTCGTCTATGAACAATACATACAAATTTTATTTTTATAATTCAAATGACATGTGAACTGAAAGATATTAACAACATCAAAGCAGAGTTTGAAAGAGCCGTGTATCTATTAGGACTCTAGACATTCTTAGAGGGACCATTTTAGTGGATTAAACTGTGTTAAGTGGAAAGTAAATGCTCAGCTTTAACTGTGACTGTAGAGGGTTTTGGTTGAAAAAATTAGCTATGACCATAAATAAGTTATTTTGAACAAACAGGCCCTTTTCTTTCAGCTAGGCTAACAAGTGGGAATAAAATGATTTCAGTGTTTTGTGATGTGGTCTGTGTGTTTAGTTCAGCCCTCTTAACTCAAATAACCCTTAAAAAGTGCAAACAACTTCCACTCAGATATCACTTAATTAGTAAATAGAGTCAATATGTTTAGCATGAACACATTTCTTCTGCAGAGGGTAATTAGACAACATTAGGGAACCGACAGCATTTTAAATACCAAGAAAATCAGCAGACAAGTCGGGGAGAAAGTTGTGCAAACCATCAAGTATGGTTGGTCAGAAAACAAAATCCCAAGAGTTTAATTAATTATCTAAAATATTAAAAGAAAATAATCTGAACTTTAAGCTACATGCACCATCCATGTTTTTAAAGAAAACCTACACCCTGATCACACCAGCCAAACGTGATGGTGGAAGAATCATGCTGTGATGATACATCTCTTTATAGCAGAGACAGGAAAGAGGGTCAGAGTTCAATGGCCATTTTACAATTATTCATGGATTTTTTTTTCTGTTGCATGAAAATCCTAATGAATAGACTGAACCATGTGACTGTAACGTGAAAGTTAGCAAATAATGGACAACATAACTTCTAGTTGAAGATGCGAAGAATTGTGAAAGTAGCCTGTTTTCTGCAGGCCTCCTCTTACCTTCTGCGAGCCAGATAGATTGCGTTTGAGGGAGGATCTTTTAAAGGTGCCAGTCTGGCCCTTAGCGTCCATTTTTTAAAAACTTAGTAAAAAACTACAATGTTAGAAAAAACACCACAGAGCTAAGCTTGGAACCTTTCAATTCCAACTTTGAAATAATTAGTCCTGTGATTCCTCATCAGTGCAGTGCTTCTTCCTCCTCTATGTAGCTTTCACTAAACTGACAATACAGGTTTCCCAGCCGGGATATAAATCACTAGATGACACATTTGACACATAGACCCTTTTCCTCTGCCTGGCATCCCATAATCAGGCTTAATGCAGCCAGCTCTTGAAGCCTTAGAGTCTAATGGATAGAGATTTAATAAATGGTTATTGAAGGTAAATCTGCTTTGGTTACACCACATCACACACACAGACACACACACAGACAGACAAAAAGGCTGAGAGGGGCCGTACAAGCTATGAAGGCAAAGTTAAGTGGCAAAGAGCAGACGGCTGCTGCACCAGATGAACCTCTCAGCTCCATGTGTCTGAAAGCAGAAAGGGTCGGGGCCCAGCAGGGTGACATGCCCACTTCCTTACATTTAGACACACAAAACTAACTTGTTCTAAACTAAAAGTATATTTCATGTACTACATCATACTTGCATGGTTTTTAGGCATCTTTTGCTCTAAAAGCTACTAAAATGGACGGAAAGCAACTCATTCTTTAGTACCGTATTATCCATAGTTTGACTCGTCCTAGTGAACAACATGCTTGTTTTCCACTAACTCTAACTAAGAGCCATCTGAATGTTAAAAACAAGAGTTAAAGCATCACTGATTTAATGAAGAATACAATTTTTACTTTGAGAACCCATCACTTCATTGAGTCTCTGTTTGCAGGTCTCATTCAAAAACTCTGAAGTGGTGCTCAGGTTTAATAAATAGTTTATATTCAACTACTCCCTCTGCTGGATATATACTGCAATGGTCTTATGATTGAAAATCATTCTGCTGTGTTTGATCCTAAAATATTTACACTCCTTCAGTTTTTCATGTTTTTTGATGCTATAGCTTCAGTGTATTTAATTGCAAAGCACAATGAGTCTTTCATTAAATTAAACATTTAGGAAAGTGTGGCTCATATCAGTACAGATGTTTGCTTGAAAGTTGGTGAACCAAGATCATCAATAGGACTATTTAAATATACTTTTTACATTTCTGAGGCTTCGGTTTAAAATCTTTTATCTCTAAAATAATGATTTTTTTTTTTTTTTCACTAAGCACTGTTCGATCATTACCTGAAGGATTAAAGGATTATTGGATAATTTCAAGCTAACCAAGTTAGGCTGTAAAGCTAAACCTATAGGTCAGACAAGAAGAGCAGTAATCAGAAGCAGCCAAGAGACCAATGGTAACTCTGGAGGAACTGCAAAGATCCATTGCTTAGGTGAGAGATTCTTTCAGGAGTACAAAAAATAGTTTTGTCATTGCTAAAGGAAGTCATAAGAAATTCCCTTTACTGATACCACAAGCTGTATGCACATTGAGACTGGGTTGCTGTATAGCAGAAAATGCAAAGGTGCTCAAGAAGAAAAGGGTGCTCTTTTTGCTTACATACAAAATGCTGCATGTGGAAAAAAAATCAAAACTACATGTTTCTTTCCGACATTGGAACATAGTAGAATACCAATTTTTTCTCAGAGGGAACAGAAACACTGACCAGAGTTAATAGGATGATAGATGAAGCTAAAGTCAAGGCGATACCAAAAAGTTACATGTAAGAGTGGAAGTTGACCCCCAAAATAACACCGACATACAACCAGAGCTACTACGCTTTAAATCACAGTCATGTGTTACAACAGTCAAGTCAAAGTCAAGTCCTGAATCTGAGATTTTGCTGGACTATTGCAGAAGGAGCCTGGACTATTGCAGTACACAATTCTTGCCTACATTTCAGTGTATTGAACCATGAAGCTGGTAGAAACAAATTTGAAAATAGTTCAACCTATAATTGCTGGGAAAGCTCTACGCTACAAAGGTGCAGATGAGAGGGAGTAAACACCAATGCACACACCCCTTTATTTTCATCCATCCATCCATCCATCCATCATTTTCCTGTCATGCATTATCTTTGCTGGGGTGCGAGGGGTGGTGGTGCCTATCACCAGCTGTCTACGGGCGAGAGGCAGGGTACACCCTGGACAGGTCACCAGTCCATCGTAGGGCAACACAAACAAGACAAACAAACATTCATGCACACACTCACACCTAAGGAGAATTTAGAGAAGCCAATTAACCTAACAGTCATTGTTTGAGCACAGTGAGAGGAAGCCGGAGTACCCAGAGAGAACCCACACATGCAGAGGGAGAAGATGCAAACTACATGCAGAAAAGACTCCGTGCCGGGAATCAAACTCGGAACCTTCTTGCAGCAGGTCGGCAGTGCTATCCACTGGGCCAATGAGCAGCCCACTTTTTTTTCAATTGTACAAATAATCTAAACCCATCTATGAGTTTAATTTAACTTCACAATTTTAACTCCTTTGTGTGGAACTGCAACATAAAATCCCCATAGAATAAAATGACAACGTTACAGTCAGATTGTGGCTATCAACAAGCCTCCTGTTCTAAAATAAATGGTACAGCCACTCTCTGCAACATGTGAAACTTGAACTATTTAAAACTCACCAAGGGATGGCTAATCTCCTGACTGCAGTCTCAACCACTACAAGCCGTGAGAGACAACTATACCTGTAGTCAGTGCAGATGATCCCTTCTGGTAATGACCACAAACAGCGTAAGCAAACCATTGGTGGATGACTTCCTTGTTTCAGATGCATCTATGAATCTGGTTGATTGCGTCGCAGAATGGATAATGCGTCATTTCTCCTTGTAAGCAGGCACATATGAGCTTTTATTATCTGTCAGTGGCTTTGTGTTGGTCATAGGAGATTAGTTTGCCACAGAGAAGAGTGGGACACATGGGGGAGGATCGATCAGCTCTTGCTCAAAATCTAAAACATTTTAGGTAAATAAAGCTCAACTGAATCATTCTAGACAGAACAGAGTTTAAAACAAAGGAAACCTTTTATTATGTACATAACATAAATAAACTTGCCTATTTAATTTAAGATAATGAAAATTGTGATGCATGAACTGGTTGTTTGCTTAAAAAATACTTTATTAAAAACAGACTCTTATGAAAATCCTATTCTTAAAAACAAAAACATGGCACTAGTCATGCATGATCCTTCAGTGAACAGAGGAGGATCACGAATGTTGATCGGTGACATTTAAAATGACAAAATCTATCTTTGAAAAGAATTTCAAACTTTTATCTCGTTTGATCACTAAGCAACACCAGTTCAGATTCTAACCTTCGAAAATTCTGTACATTTTCTATTTAATAGATTAAATTTTTTTGCCCTCTTCTAATCTCTCTATGTCTTTTAATTCTTCTGCAATTTGTTTTGCTTTTCATCAGATAATCTGTTTTATGATTAGCTGTGAAAAATTGACAACATTTCTAACCAAAGTGCAGTCTTTATCTTTTTAAGGCAGTATGGCAATAACACAGACAGTTCCAAACTTTAACCACTAGAGGGCACCTTGTTCACAGAGAAACTGTGAGTTAAACCCACACATTTAGTGTGATGTCTCCTGCTTGTTATGATCAGCTGTCTCAGAAACTGAACTGTTTCAAAGGTTAGATGCAAAGGAAGAAATTAGCAAGCAGGAAAATCTGGTCTGGATTCCTACATCTGATGTTTACTGCATGTTTCCCACTCTCAGCTTCTAATGTCAAGCTCAGTTTACCTTCTTGTGTTTTACTCGATGCTTTGTAAATACTTGCTTGATTCATCTCATCATTTAAACCAGATGGCATAAGGCCAGCAGCTGAAAAGCTTTTTTTAGAGACTATTTCCACATGCAATTCCAAGACGGACTGTAACTCCTCTAAGGAGGGGGAGAAGATACTTGTTTTGAAAGTCGTTCTTTGTTTCTGTGAAGTGCTTACTGGTACAGCCTCTGGCAAGGAAACCGAAACATTGAAGTGTACAGAACAGAAGTACAACAGAAACCTGTTTTGGGGAGGTGGAGAGTTCACCAAAGCAAACAAAGGCATGTGGTTCTTGTTCTGTTTGTTTGTGCTCTGGTTTTTATCAAGGTGATCAGGGGTGACCTGCAGGAACAAGACAGCAAAATGTGTTAGTTTCTGACCTGGTGATCAGCCAATGTTTGTCCTGGTTGCTAAGGAAACAGACAACACCCTCATCTGAGACCTTGGTGGTTCAGGTGTGTTCAGTGCTGCCAAGATGGGCAAACATGCAAGGGTGATGATACAATGCACACAGCTGGATAAATCAATAAATTACACAAGGGGATTTGAGAAAATAATCTATCAAATGGATCGGATCCTTTTCTATTTGCCTTTTTTCTGTTTTTATAAAACAGAAATTCAGGGAAGGAAGTGATGTTCAGAGATTTGGGTCATGTACCAACATGTTTCCTACATGTGCTCTTTATGCGCTCCAAGAAAGCATTCTGATCTCCCCATATAATTACAACCTAGATAGCATAATAAGATAAAAAAAACAGAACAGCCTGAAACAAATAAAAACAAATTATATTTATTTATTTTTTAAATATAACTTTTATGAAAATGCCCAAAAGCCTTCTCATGATATCCAAAGATAACCAATGAGAATGACACAGAACTCATTTAAAACTTTTAATATATTTAGAAGTGTTGGTCTATTCTAAGCCTTAACTATGCTGTCTGCAGACTTCGGTTCATTGTCTATTTAAAAAACTAATTTATACCTAAACATCAAGTTGTTGACAGATGTCTTTAGATGTTGCTCTAATATTTCAACATTATGCTCTTTACTCATGATGCAATATATTTTGGGAAGCGCAGTAGTCCTTCTGAACAAAAACACCTGAACAGCATGATGCTGCCACCCCCGTGTTTCACAGTTGGGGAAGGGGTTAATCTGCTTTCAAGCTGTACTCCAATAAAGGAAAGACAGGAATGACTTCTCCCTCATTCTGTCATTTCTCTGACTTAGAACCTCTCCTTCCATAACAGTGTGATAACTGGACATTTCATATGTTCATTCTGCTTGTATTTAATTCCTAAAGCTAGATACATTAATAATAAAGATGGGACTTTCAGATTATGGAAATCCTACCGAAGAACAAACACTTTAAACCTTGACTGATTTGTTAGTATT